CTTCTTGGAGGAGAAGGCAGCTTGGCTGAGGGAGCAATCTGTGAGCCCCAGCCCAGGCAGGGGAGGTGTGGTGCTCAGGTCTGTTTTTCCGGCGAAGGGCCTGAAAGAAGGCCAAAACAGAGGAAAAACCGCAGAGTGGACAGCAGAGACAGCAAGGAGGAGGAAGAAGAGCAAGAGGAGGAGAAGGAAGAAGAGGTGGAGAAGGAGTCGTCCTCCTAGAGCTACACCTCCTCTGAGGATCCAAAAGAGGAGGATCAGAAGGAGAAAGCCAAGCAAAAGGAGGTGGACACTTCGAAGAAGAAGGAAAGCCAACAAAAGGAGAAGAAGAAAGTCAAGGAGGAGCAGGAGAAGGAAAAGAAAAAGGCAAAAGATGAGGAGGAGGAGGAGGAGAAGGAGGAGCAGCAGGAAGAGGAGACCAGGGAGGTCAAGGAGGAGGACAAAGAAGAACAGAAGGTGGATGATGAGGATCTGTGAAGGGAAGCTGAAAAAGTCAGGCTTGAAAGAAAGCCAAATGCTTGCAAAAGTTTGGCCTGCTCAATGGCTTGAAAGAAAGCCAGTGACACTTCAACAGGTCTGTTTCGCCAGGGTCTGGCTTGAAAGAAAGCCTTCCTGAGCAGCGGACTCCTTAGCAGAGGAGAGAAAATAAATAAACAAATAAATTAATTAAATGAATAAAGAAAAATTACTTATTTAAAAATTTGTAATCTATAGATATAGGCTAAGTATTGAAAAGAAAAGAAAAATAACCAAAAATAAATGAAAGTAAGAAAGTCCACAAGAAGGAAAGCAAGAAAGAGAGAAGCAAACACAATACAGAAACTATAATCCCTTGGTTTGAAATAATCCTGTTTGTGATAATATTATATCTTGGGATATATATATAATATATATGTATATGAATATATATATAATATGTATATATATATAGGCATATAAATACATTTTGGCTTTTTATGTCGATTTCTACATATAAATATGTATGCAGGCCTAAAAAGTTTAGAGTTTTTGAAAAATATACACGTGCTGGTGCACAGCGCGAAACAGCATCCACAGCGAGTTCGCAGCGAGTTCACAGCGCGAAACAGCAACCACAGCGAGTTCACAGCGAGTTCACAGCGAGTTCACAGCACAGCTGGTTCACAGCGAGTTCACAGCCATTTGGGTACAAAACTAAGCTCCGCAGCTTCTGGGCATGAGAAGCAGAAAGAAGCCAGCAGCATCCAAAAGCCAGCTGGGCATGAAAGAGGAAGCATAAGGCCTGAAAGAAGGCCAGAGGCAAACTGAGACACAGGAGGAAGACAAGGCAACAGATTCGCAAATAGAAGGAGAGCACACTGAGGCACAGGAGGTAGACAATGCTGAAGAAGGACAAGACCCAGAGGCAGTAGATGAAGGAACACAAGCTGAAGACAAGCCAGCGGAAATGGAGCAGCAGCAGCAGCAACAGGGCTTGAAAGAAGGCCTGCCAGGACACCCTGCAGGAGAGAGTAAAAAAAAGGAAAAAAAGGAAGAGGATGGTTCTGAATCAGCTGCTTCCTTGACCTCCAAGAGGTTGAAGCTGCACCAAGAAACCCAGGAAGCCATTGTAGGCCTGAAAGAAGGCCACCCGTCAGAAGAGGACTTTTGGAAAGCAATTCAAAAATCTGAAATGGCATCCTTGTGGAAAAAATATGAATGGGCAAGAGGGAAGACGCCTGAGGCCCAGGAGGCGTGGCAGCAAATGGGGGGGCCTGGTGTTCTTGCCAAGAAGAAACAGGCCTTGCTACATTTCCTGAAGACAGGGAAAACCAGGAAGGAGGCTTGCAAGAAAGCCAAGAAGCAGGACTTGTTTGAGTGGGTGCCCTGGAAGCAAATCCAGGACTGGTATCGAAAAGATGAAGCCCTTTCCAGGGTGGAATCTGGAACCATCCCTGTCAGGAGAGATGGGAAGAAATTTTACGAGTTTCTTCTGATCAAGAAGAAAACTGCTTTGTCGACAGAGCAGAACCAGAGGATTGCAACTGAGCAATCCATTGCCTTGAAAGGTGCAGAGCTTATGGCTTGCAAGAAAGCCTTGCAAGCACCAAGGTCGAAGCAGGAATGGGAGGATCTGTGGTCTGAAAGAAGGCCAAAAAAAGGGGTTTCAAATAGAAGATGCTTTGTCTGAAGAGAGCTGCTCCGCCTCAGAGGAACAGGAGGAGTCAGCTTCTTCAGATGAAGCAAATCCAGCGCTCCAGTTCCTGAGGGGCCTGAAAGAAGGCCAATCCAGGGGTACCCAAGCCAAAAACGCCAGGGAAGAGAAGGAACACCCGAAGAATAAGAAGGAACAAAAAGTGCTGCAAGAGAAGCAAAAGTAACAGGAAAAAAAAGAAAGAGTAGAGCAAAAGATGAAGAAACATGAAGCAGCAGAAGCACAGTGGCAAAAAAAATGAGGAAGCCACACAGGTGGCAGAAGATGACAAAGACAGCAAGGTGAAAAAGATGCTGTGTCTCGTCAGCAAAGCAGTGGCAGAGATGAAAAAGGCTTGCAAGAAAGCCAGTGACAAGTCATGGGGTGCTGCTGAGCTTCAGAACTTGTGCAGGTGCAGAGATGAGCTGGAAGACTTTTCTGTGGATTGCGAGCTGCAAGGAATCAAAGAAAAACTGATTGATGCAGCTGCTTCTCTGAAAGCTTCTAAGGAGGCCATGAGAAGCTTGGCCTGAAAGAAGGCCTGTAATGCAATCAGGGTTGGCCTGGAAGAAGGCTTAGCTAGGTTTCGAGCTTTGCACTGGCAGCCAGAGAAACGCAATGGAAAAAATCCCTTTGTTAAGTGAGCTGGGCCTTTTTTTCACCACCAAAATGTAATGTTTTAAAGTCTCTTTGGGGAAAAGGAAGCACGAAGCATGTGTGCCTGCAGCCATTTAGGTTCAGGCTAGGCATTCACCAAAAAGTCGAAATAGAAGAATGCAAAAAACGTAAAAGTGAGGACTGCCAAGGCCTGAAAGAAGGCCACAACTTGAGCAAGAAACTTTTGCATCTGTGGTCATTGGGAAAATTAAGCGCAGCAGGATTAAAAGAATTGGCCCATGCATCCACTTCTGATGTGCTGCAATCACCAGACATCATGGAGCTGAGTGGATTGGGCACATTTGGGACTTACCCAAACAATTGCCATATAGATCTTCTCAGGCTGCTAAAAAACAACCTGAAAAAATCCAAGCAGGGAGGCTTGAAAGAAAGCCCTACCTTTTCAATACAGGTGCCAGCCCTCGACGCCAAAGAAGAAAACCCCAAAACAATGGCTACATGCCACATGGTCTTGCCGCATTTATTAGTCTGGCAGCTTTTTGAAAGTTACACTCAGCTGGCTCCATCCCTGTTTGGCTTGCAGAAGTTGCAAGCTTTCTGGGCAGGGCTGAAACCCAATGACCCCAGGCTTTGGGGGTGGGGCTTGGAAGAAAGCCAGAAGAAGAAAACCATTCCTTTGTGGTTGCATGGCGATGGAGTGGAGTTTTCCACTGACACTCTCTTGACATTTTCCTGGGGGCCCCCACTGTTCGCACCCCAGGGCTTGAAAGAAAGCCAAGAGGAAACATAGGCAAGCCACAGCATGGACAGCTCATTCCTGGTCACTGCGTGGCCCAAGTCTGCCACTGCTAGCAACACCTGGGATGATATCCATGCAGTCATGGCATGGAGCTTTACAGCCTTGTTCACTGGCTTCCATCCAGAAGCTGATTGGCAAGGAAATCCTTTGCCTCCCCATCTGGCAAGGCTTGCAAGAAAGCCAATTACAAAGCAAGGGTATTCTTTTTGGATTTTCAATTTCCTGGGCGACTTGGAATATTATTCAAATCACCTTGGGTTTCCACATTGGTCCTCGCACAAGTTTTGCTGGCTGTGCGACTGCAACCAAACAAATGCCAACAAGAACCTATATGATTTCACTGACAACCCTGGGTGGCAGCTTAAAAGTTTTGAAGGCTTGAAAGAAAGCCCCTGCACAAGCCACCCTCTTTTCACTATCCCAGGTGGTTTGCCTGAATACAGGGTGTGCTTAGATGTTCTGCACACATTAGATCTGGGAGTAACAGCTAGGCTGTATCTTGCATGCCTGGTCTTTTCCACCCTGAAGAAGGAAGGAGCTGGCAATACCGCGAAAATTTGGGCAATGGTGAAAGATGCATACACAGAAGCGGGCACCAAAGAAAAATTCAACAACATAATGGTGTCCATGTTTTGTGCAGCCGAGAAGCCATTTTCCCAACCAGCCAAGCTGAGAGGTCATGCAGGTGAAATTCGACATTTCATCCCAGCCTTAGCTTTGATGGCCTGGAAGAAGGCCAATGAATGCCAAGCTTTTGCTCACATGGCTGAATGTTGCCACCACCTCGCCAAATTCTATTCAATCATTGCAGAGGATGATTTTTTCATGAAAAACTCTCAGGAAGCAGAGCAGTGCTTGAAAGAAAGCATGATGCATTACATATGGTTATACAACCATTTTGATGATGGGGTCAGATTCACCTTGACCCCTAAGTGCCCTTTCCTGGCACACATCGCTTTGATGCTGCACTTCCAGAACCCAGCTACCTGCCCCAGAGTACGCCTTATTGAAAAGATTCAATAAAGTTAGTGTTTTTTTTAACACTTATTGAAATTCAAGTTTTATTGAAATATTTCAATAACCTTATTGAAATGTGTTTCAATAATATTATTGGTTTATTTCAATAAGGTTTGAACTGCTTTTTGGAACAATTTTCAATAAGAAATTTCAACAATGCTTTCTTGGGGCTTGTCATCTCATTTCAGCCTCATGAAGCAGAACCAAAGTGCATGACATGGTCACATGCCTGTTGGTGAAACTTTTGCTTTGGGACATGTGGCTTGAACCTTGTCCACAGGTAGCTGCCAGGCTCTCAGGTGGAAGTTTTTCCAGTTGGCCTTGGAAAGGGCATGGGGTCCAGGTACTCAGATGATGACCCTTTAATTTGCCTGGACCCACCACAGTACAGGGACAACCAGTATGTCCAGTGCTGCCATGGCTGGAACAGAGATGGGCCAGGAGCTAGCTGCACAAACTGGATATGGAGGGGCAGGCTGGGCAGGTCCAAGTGGGGTCGGTGGGGAGTCAGTTGCTGGGCGTGTGGCACTGACTGGAGAGAATCCTATCTCTTCTGGATGGATAGGTATGGTGGGTTCTGGCATTGGGTTGAGCACTAAAGCCTTCAACAAAGCCTTGCAGGAGGGCAAAGCCTTGCATAAGGGCATTAAAGCCTTGGATAAGGGCATTAAAGCCTTGGATAAGGGCAAAGGAAAGGGAGCAAACAGAATATGCTCTGGGAAAAAATAATGCAGCAGGGTCCTGAAGCTGCTTTGGCTTTGAGCATTTGGCATGTGCAGCTAGCAGTTGTCAGCTTGTGTTGCATCTCTACAGCTTGCTTGTTTCTGCAGCCTTTGGGTTCAATGCATCTTTTTTCTCAAGCTTCCCTGCCAGGAATCCAAGCCTTGAAAAAGGGCAAAAGCCTTGAAAAGGGCATAGCCTTGAAATAGCCTTATATCACACAAAAATGATGAAGCCAGTAAGGAAAAGGGCAAAAGGAGCAGGAAATTCAAACCCAACCAAAAGAAAGAGTTTCGCAGAAGTTGATCAAACCCTGCTGGAGGACAAGCTGGACAGCTATGTGAGGCAAATGGGTAAGGAACAAGCTTTCAACATGCTTGAATATACCCATTTGCAACCTCAGCAAGCAGAGGTGCCTAGGGCAATGGCCAAGCTTGCAAAGCTGTTGGAATGCCTCCTGCAAGCTTCTCCACCAGCACAAATCAAATATTGTGCTTTGAAAATGGACCTGGCCAGCATGATGAATAAGTTTGGGTCTGACATTCTGTCAGCCCATTTCGAGTGTGAGAAGGAAATGCTGGCTGGCAGGGGAGCTGATTCTTTCACAGTGCTGCTAAAGCATTGGAGAAGGGTGACTTCAAGTGATACAAGCTTCCAAAAATTCCAGCAGAAGTTGGATGATTCACAGGCCAGCATCATGGGAGGCCTCATGAAGAGGATGGCAGGGTCTGAGGAAGCAAAGAAAAGTGTGTATGCCAAGAAAAGGTTTTTGAAAAAGGAGGAAAGTGAGGTGACCATGGCATCAGATGGCTGGCCAGCAATGCTGGCCACCCCAGCTGACAGTGATTCTGCTGGATCAGCAGCTGAATCAGCTGCTGAATCATCAGCAGTTGGTTCACCATGGGCTGATTTACAGAAAAGCCAACCCCCTGTCTTGAAGAGCAATTGGAAGGCAGCAGCTGGAAAACATGTGAAAAAACCTACCTCAAAGAGAAGCCTTGCAAAGGGGCAAAAGTTGAAAATGCCAGCTGCACAGAGCAAGAGCAGTGGGTCTTCAAAAGATGGTGCCAGGGGTGGGCCAGATGCTATCCACCTACCATCTGTGAAATTGGGTGGTGGCAAGGCACAAAGCTATATCCAACACATGCCAGATGGCCCAGATGGCTCTAAGCGATTGATAGTTGCTTGCACAGCTGCCAGGGCCAAGTTTCTCAAAGTGACACACAAAGCCCTGATGGAAGAATTGCTGCCAAAATGCAAGGAAAAGGGAGCCACCAAGACATCAGTCTTAAAAGAAAGAGACAAATTGTTTGAAAAGTATGGGAAGCCACCTTAAAGGATCCACTGTGTGCCAAACATGCCTTGCAAAAGGGCTTGCCAAACATGCCTTGCAAAAGGGCTTTTGCTTTGCAAACAAGCCTGCCTTGTGACATGTTTTTTTTGCTTTGCAATCAAGAATGCCTCGTGAAAGGGCTAGCAGCAGCACAGCTTCTGCATATATATTTCAATCTGCCCTCAAAGTGGAATGGAAAAAAGGTGCTGGACAGTGTGCATGCACAGGTTTCTGGCCTTTTTGGCTCTGAAGCGCAACTTGCTTAGCATACCTGCATACCTGTGGTCACACTTTGTCTTTCTCAGCCACTTTTTGGCTCAAACTAAGCACAGCTACCTTTTCCTTTTTTTTTGGGCATCAATTGGAAAAAGCTCTTTGACAAGCCTTGCAAAGGGCATAAATCCAAACTCTGACAAGAGCACACTTCAAAGCCTTGAAAAGGGCACAGCTGCTAAGCCTTGAAAAGGGCAAGGGCAAGGATGAGGCAATCCCCATCATCTTCCCCAGACTGGGATAGGCCATCCCCACCTGAAAGAAGTAGAAGTGGCAGCAACCAGCCAAAACCCACAAGGTGGCAAGCAAAAACGCCACCAGAAGATTGCAAAAATACCCAGGAAAAATGGACTTGGGAAGGCTGGCAGAGCCAGAGCTGGGAGCAGCAAGGGTGGAAAGAGCAATGGCAGGAAAAAAAAAATGCCTGTGGCCACGGAAGGGTGAGTGGTCTGATGACTGGACAGACTGGTCCTGGGAAGACAGGCACCAGCATGCATGGTCTCAGCACAGCCAGCCCCAGGAAAAAAATAGGAGGCTGCCAAAAAAAGAAGGAGCACCAGGCAGCAGCCGAACCTCAGGAAGCTATGTGCAAAGACAGAGGCTGGCCAAAATGAGGGAGCAAAACCCACCCAAAAGTAAGGAGGAGGCTGAGCAGCAAAGGCTTGCTGCCATAGGAAGGGCCAGGTTCCAAAGAATCCATGGAAGGCAGCAAAAGCACATGGCTGCAAAGATGGAGGAACACCAGGCCAACCTGGAAATGCAGCAGCAACAGCTGCAGCAGCTGCAGCAGCAGCTGTACTGGCAGCAATCCCAGTGGCAATGGCAGCAGCCAGCTGTCTCCTGGGTGCTGCCACAAAGTGGGTACCTCATCCACCCAGGCTTGACACTATATAGTTGTTTCTCTTTCAGGCATGCTGTTTTGCAACCATGATTTCCTTAGCTTCATTTTTTGCCATGCATCTTGCATTTGTTTTGTTTCAGGTGGTGGTGATGGTGGCAGTGTCATGGCCACTGGTGGTGCTGCCTCCTCCTCAGGCACATTTTGTGTCAGTCAGAGCAGTTTTTCATGTCAAATCTGGCTGCCTGGCCAGGCCACCAACAGAAGCCTGCCCAGCAACCTGCTGCCCAGCCAAAGCCTGCAGGCCAAGGTGGGGGTAATGAAGTGCCCCACTGCATGTTTCTGTGATGGTTTAAAACCATTTTTTTGTGCCAAACAGTTGTGACTTTGTTTGCACCTGGCACTGGCTCCACTTACACCACACCATTTTTTACAACCATGATTTGGCAGGCACAAAGGAGAGCAAGTCCAGCTCCAGCAGCAGGAGCAGCAGAAGCAGCAGCAGTGAAGGAAAGGGTGAGGGAACTGAGAGCTCTGATGGTGGGAGGCCAGAATGCCAGCACAACCCAAAGGGGCAAGGCCCAAAGCCAAAGGAAGTGGCAAGGCAGCACAAAAGAAGCCTTTGCCAACTCCACTCCATCTCAGTGATGGCAAAAAAATGAACATGAAAATACTTCCTGGGTGCAGGTTGTGAAGGGTGGGAAGTGGGAAAAAACAAAATAAATGACAGGTGCCATAAAATGGCAATGCATGCCTTGAAAAGGGCCATACATGCCTTGACAAGGGCCATACATGCCTTGATAAGGGCCATGAGTTTTGGATTGCAAGCCTTGAAAAGGGCAGTGGCACCCAACCCATTTTTTCCCCACCTGCCAGGTGAGGGTTGTTAGATTTTATCAGAGCTGTTCTCCTCCTCCTCCCTCCTCGGCTAGCTGTCCTCCTCCTCCTCTAGTTTCTCCTCGACCATGTCTGCATCAACTTCCACCTCCACTTCCGCCTTGCCAACTCTTCGCCAAGCTCTTTGCCAACTCTCTTCGCCGACTCTCTGCGCCAAGCTCTTCGCCAACTTCCCAGCTCAGTGCGCACTGCTGGACGTCAACCTGTGAGCTGCCCAGCTCAGTGTGCACCGCGGGACCTCAACCTGCGAGCTGCCCAGCTCAGTGTGCACCGCTGGACCTCAACCGGGGACCTGCCCAGCTCAGTGTGCACCGCTCAACCTCAACCTGCAACCTGCCCACCTCAGTGTGCACCGCTGGACCTCAACCTGGGACCTTCCCAGCTCAGTGTGCACTGCTGGACCTCAACGGCCAGATAGAATGCCAGAAGATATGCCAGATAGAATGCCAGATAGAATGCCAGAAGATATGCCAGATAGAATGCCAGAAGATATGCCAGAAGATATGCCAGAAGATATGCCAGATAGAATGCCAGAAAATATGCCAGATAAACTGCCAGAAGATATGCCAGAAGATATGCCAGAAGATATGCCAGAAGGTATGCCAGATAGAATGTCAGATAGAATGCCAGTAGGTATGCCAGATAAAGTGCCAGAATGTTTGCCAGATAGAATGCCAGAAGATTCGCCAGATAGAATGCCAGATAGAATGTCAGAAGATATGCCAGAAGATATGCCAGATAGAGTGTCAGAAGATGTGCCAGAACAGATTGCAGAAGATATGCCAGATAGAATGCCAGAAGATATGCCAGATAGAATGCCAGAAGATATGCCAGATAAAATGCCAGAAGGTATGTCAGATAGAATGCCAGAAGATTTGCCAGTAACAAAATGTATAAATGCCATGGTGGGGAAAACTCGAAGTAAAGTAATTTGAATTGGACAGCAACTCAAATTGCTGGAGGAAAAAACAACAACACCAAAACATTGTTGAAAATCATGGCCCATCATATGGCATCATATGACATCATATGATGGGAGGGGCCATCATATGATTGCAAAAACCCATCATATGATGGCAAAAACCCATTATATGGTGGGAGGGGCCATCATATGATGTCATATGATGCCATATGATGGCTGCTGTTTTTTCTGGCACCAGCATGCCCAAGATGGAAATCACACATTTTCAAAAAGACAGAAAAATTTGGCCATGACAAAAGCAATGCAGCATTCTCTCAGGCTCAAGGATTTTTGTGACAAAAAAAACTGGGAAGAGCCTTGCAAAGGGCAGCTGTCCACCATGGGAAAGGCAATGAAAGCCATGAAAAGCCCTAAGCCGAAGGGAATTTTGAAAAAAACAAAAACTGATGAGAAAAACAAATCCAAAGCAGCAAGCCTTGTGAAAGGGCCAAGTGCAAAGGAAAGCCTTGAGAAAGGGCCAAAGGTAAAGGAAAGCCTTGTGAAAGGGCCAAAGGCAAAGCCAAAGGCTGTGAAAATGCCTCAGGGAATGAAAAAACCAAGTGCTGCATTGGCTCTCCCCAACAATGATGAGGGGCTGTCCCTTGAGGAAAAGATGGAGAAGTTCCATGAGAAAGGAGGGAAGTCAGTGGATGAATTCCCCAGCTCTTTGACCCAAGGCCAAAGAGAATCCCTGTGGGGAAGGTTCTCAAGGGCCAGGGATGCACTCAAAGATGAAAAGGCAACAGAGCTTTGGAACGAAACCTGCAAAGGGAAGGGGTCAGATGGGCCCAAGAAGCAGCTGCTCAAAGTTTTCTTGGACACCAAAGGGGATTTGAAGAAGGGCAACCTATTTCAGAAGGAACTCATCCAGCTGAGCCAAACAGCTGGTGGCTTGGATGCAAGCCTGCAGTGGCCTTGTCTGTTTGTGTGCACCTGTGTGCCACCTAAGGTAGCAAGGAAACCCAGGAGTGGGTCCCCTTTCAGAGCATCCTCACAAGGTTTGGGTTGAAAGAAGCCATGAGGAGGGTGCCTTTCAAAACACTAGCACACCAGTGCCATGCTGCTTGCTGCTTTAGTTTTGATTGTTCAACTTCCAGCACCCCATCCCTTCTGAGGTGTCCAGGGGCAGTATTTCTTGCAGAAGAGATCCAAGAGACAAACATGAGTGGCAATTCTCTCTGAACCAAGAGATTCACTACAAGGACGCACAGCAAAGGCACCAAATGTCCTTTGAAGGGTGCCAAAAGGTTGAAGCTTTGGAATGGGTCAGGGCCAAGGACATTGGCTCCATGCTGGAAGGCACTGAGGGACACTTGGGTGAGGATGCCTTGAATGAGTTTCTGCCAGACAAGGCAAAGAAAAAAAGGAAAGGCCTTTTGGCCATCAAAGACAAAGAAAGTGAAGATGTTGATGATGAAGAGGATGGGCAGGCTGATAAGAATAAGCTGAAAGCAACTGTGGATGAAGCAGATGTTCTTTCAGACTTGGGAAAGAACCAAAGCAAGGATCTAGCTGCCAAAAGGATCGTCAAAATGATCACACTGCTGAAGTCATTGAAGAATGACATCTCAAAAGGCAGCAGTGGCTCCAAAGACACAGCCCATGCCAAATCTGTGCAAGCATCTTTGGATAGTTTGCAAAAGCTGGTGAAGCAAGGCAGTAAGGTCAACATGGAAGCTGCCAAGGAAGAGCTGCTGGAAGCAGCTTTGGCTGTGAAAAGGGTTTCCAAAGCCTTGAAAGAACGAGAAGGGAAGCATATAGTGCCTTGCAAAGGGCTGGCAGCAAATGGCCAAAGCCTTGGTAAAGGGCAGTTGCTTGAGGAAAGTGGCAAGAAGTTGAAAAACTTGAAAACTGGGGCTGGGAGTGGCAGTAGCTTGTGGCAGTGGCTTGTGCTCCCCACCACATTTTCTGCATACCTCCCTTTTTGCAGTTTTTGCAAGCTCAAGCATCAGTGCTGTGCACAAGCCTTGCAAAAGGGCAGCACCTGGCCTTTGTGAAAGGGCCCCAGCTTTGATTTGTAGCCATGCAGGCAAAATGGAAAAGAAAGAAGTGGCAGCATGGAAGCAGCAGCAACATGAGAGAAGCAGAAGAGATGTCTCCATTGGGGGCCTGTTTGCTGGAGCACTTTGCCAATGGCATGTCAGCATCTTGGTAGCACATGGGTATCTGTGAATCTTTCATCCAAAACACATATAGCAGTTGCTTTGGGCCATCTTTGCTTTCTTTTTTGGGCCCAGGGACCTTCCATACAAGCCCTTGCCATGGCAGCAGTGAAGTCAGGGCAAAGTTCTTCAGACATCCAAGAGATGGCATCTTTGGGGAACAATGGGCAAAACCCCAACCATGTAGCCCACCAGCTGGAAACAAAATATTGCAAGGCTGCTGATATAGATGTGCCAAACCCTTACAGTGTGGAGTGTCCTGTCCTTCTTAGAACATCTGATGGCATGTCTGTTGCCACAAGAAAGGTGGGGATGTTTCTCCCCCATGAATGGTTCGATTATTTGTGCCTGAAAGATGGGGTGAGTGGCCTCCAGAATCTGGAGAGCTTCTGGAATGAGCACAGCTCCAAAGATCCACAGATCCAGCATTCACCAGTGAAAGACACTTGGATTGCAATTGTTTGATGTCTGTGTGGCCCCTGTCCAGGCTGGTTTTGCAGCATGTTTTCTGTGAGCTCAGGATTCCAGAAAGATGTTTGTCCCATTGGGTCTTCATGGAGATGGAGGGCAATTTCAGCGAAATGATAGCATCAATGTCATCAGCTTCAGATCCCTTTTGAGCAGCTGGAATGTTGCCACCTCCCAGTTGTTGCTTATTGCCTTGCCCAAGGGCTGCATCAACAAAAACAAAGATGATGATTCAAAAGACACCATGCATCATATTTGGAAGGTGCTGGTTTGGAGCCTGGAGGCAACCTTCTACAACAAGTTCCCAGAAATGGACCATATGGGCAAGGATTGGCCCACTGGCTCCTGGAGGGCCAAGATGGCAGGACATCCTCTCAGCACAGCTGGGTATAGAGGATTGGTGAATACATGGCCAATGAATTCCATCTCAATGGTGCAAGCATGGAGCAAATGTGCTGGAATTGTGTTGCGAACAAATCAAGCCACCCCTACAATGATTTCAGACCCACTGCTTCCTGGAGGGAAACAGTTGTGGACCACAAGGGCACATCACCAACTGAGCATTTGGTGTCTCAAGTGCCAGCTGTGTCTGGCCTGACATTCAAATATGATATCCTTCATGTCCTTGAGGAAGGATTGGCAGCCCACTGCATTGCCAATGCAGCCTTGGACATGAGATCACATGATCATGGCACTCAGGAGGAGAGGTTGAGGAACCTTCAGAACAAAATAGCACAGTTTTATGAAGAGCTGGGCATTGAGTCTGAGCACCAAGTCAAAAGGTTCCCTATGTCCGCTTTTTGCTCTCCCAAAAGCAAGTGGGACACTTTCCCATCCCTCAGTGGCATCAAGGCCAAGCAATGCAGGTGGCTGGTTCCAGTGTTCCTCCAGATCTGTGAGGCCAATCTGGCAACAGATGAATATTCACAGCACAAGTACAAATGCTTCAAACATTTGAACATTGTGTATGAGGTGATGGATTCTGCTGGGATGCACCCCAGCCAAACTGATGCCAGAACTTTCTCCAAGGCCATGAACAGTTGCCTGCTACACTACAGCAGGCTTTCAGTTCTTTGCCTCCAGCAAGGTGTATTAATGTGGAATACCATTCCGAAAATGCACCTCTGCCAGCACTTGGAGCTCCAATTCAGGTGGTTCAATCCAAAATTTTATTCTTGCTACTCTGGTGAAACAATGGTGGGCCATATGTCTGCCTTGGGGCATGCTTGCCTCAATGGCACCACAGCCCATTTAGTTCCACTCAAAATAGCTTGGAGATTTAGGTTAGCATTCCACTTGAGGAGCCAGGGTGCTGAGTTCAACTTTGCAAGCTCAGACAGTGAAGATTAATGGCAGCAGCCTTGCAAAGGGCTTTTTAGCCTTGAAAAGGGCTTTTGTAGCCTTGAAAAGGGCTTTGGCAGCAGCCTTGCACAAGGGCCTACTGAAATTCACGGAGTGGCATCAGGTGTGAAAAAAGCTGAGCTGCTGTTTTCCACTCCATGTGCCAAATCATTCATGAATAGGACAAGCACATGATCAAACAATGAAAAATGTAGAACACCTTATTGAAAATACAATAAAATCCTTATTGGTTTGGGTACAAATCTTATTGAAATTTTCAATAGAGGTGATGAAACACAATTTCAATAAAAATGATAATTTTATTGAAATGGTCTTCACTTATTGAAATTGGCGTTTCTTTTTAATTGAATCTTTTCAATAAGGCGTACTCTGGGGCTGGACATACAAGCAGGAATCTTTCATGGGATACATTTCCACCTTGGGACACAGCTGCTCACATGGCACCAGGGCTGTGAGATTGAGTGAATCTGTCATCACCAAGTACATCATGGCTTTGCAGCTGAAGGTGAATGACATGGTGTGAAGGTTTGAAAGAAAGCCAAAGGCTGACAGCAGGCCAGTTTCACCTTAGTTTCATCTCAGTTTCACCTCTGTTTGCTCAATAAAGGAAAAAGCTTGCAATATCAAGATCAATATCAGATCAATACCAGATCAATACCAGATCGATATCAGATCAATACCAGATCAATACCAGATCGATATCAGATCGATATCAGAATCAATATCAGACCAATATCAGGATCAATACCAGATCAATATCAGACCAATATCAGGATTGATCACGATATTGAATTTTAAGCCTCTGAGCTAGACCATTTTCAATAATATTGAACAGCATTTTTTCAATACAGGGATTGATTTTTTTCAATATCGGATCCTCAGGGTTTACTTCAGATTAGATGGCAGTTCGAGTCCAAACCCTAGTGGGCTCAAATTCTGTCAGGACCAAAATTGCTTTACACATGTAGAATTTGTTGGATCATGTATAGAGATACTGAAAGAGTATCTGAAAGTCCCTTATAGCTACCAAAACCATCGCTTCAGATCAAAAGGTCCACCCAAAAACATTTTCTATATGCAAGTACATTTTTGCCTTAACAAATACATTTTTTGAGCTCAAATCAGCCGAGTGCAAAAAAAATACAACCTTAGGATTTCCAGGTAAGCCATAGTTGGACATCGCCTTGAAAAGTCGTATGTGAGAAAAACGGAATAGCCAGAGGAAGAGGGAGAGTGTTCGGAGGGCACGGCTCCTATGGTACGGAGGCGATGCCGCAACCGTTGGTAAAGCCTTGGTCCCATCTTGATGGGAGCGTGTCGGCTGGCTTTGAACTGAAGTCTCCAACCTTCGGCTTTAAGCTGAAGTTATGCTGGAAGTGCAGCCGAAAAAAATACGACCTTCATAAAAAAAAACAGCTTATGACCCTGGCCATTGCCAACTTGCCACCCAACCGGCTCTTATGCCATGCAGAGCCACAGGTGGAAATGAAATGAAATCAGGCCGCAGACTCTTTTTACCCACCAGACACTGTGGTTGCCAAGCAGAGTGAGAGGGCTAGGATCGAAAGTTTCTCAAAAATGAGAACCGGCAAGAGTCAACCAGCTGTCTTGCTGCAGGCGCGCGCGGATTTCTGCACACAGAAAAGGAGCGCTGAAAAAACACACACACTGTGGGGTAATGGTGAGTGGAAAGTGTGAATGATGTCATAGTCTTCGCCTGCTTTCCTGAGTTGCCTGGCAGTAGTTTTGCAGCGGACACGGAATCGCGATCGAAGAAACAACGCACAGCTCATAAACAGAAACAGAAGGTCAACAGTTTAAACCATAGCAGGTACGTAGATCAGGCGTCCCTGACCTATATCCTTACCACATGTCACCCTACCACATGTCACCCAGCTTCGTTGGCAGAGGAAGTGACATGGGCACCTCTGCCCCCTGCTTTTTGAGAATTGTACAAGCGCAATAAACAGAACTAAAACCGTTTGTTATAACGGTGTACACACACACAATGGCCCCGAAATGGGGCAAAACCGCAAACCGCCTAGTTTTTACCTAAGAAAACTGACCTAAAGAGCCTGCCTAAGAGAATGAATACCTGGCCTAAAAGAACCTGATGACGATGACGAGTGATGTGAAAAGCAAAAAGTTGAACCGTGTTCTATAAGTCGTAAATCCTAACATTTAAAAAAAAAGCGTATGCAAATGCTGTATAAACGATGCACAAGACTGTACGATAAAGCCTTTCAGCCAAGACTCATCTGTAATTCCATCTCATCGTCAAGAATAAATAATCGCACAGGTACATTGGCAAGTGGAAATTCTGAGTTCCGGAACTGCAGAATGAGCTTGAGTTGTTGCTGAGCTCTTGACCGAAAAGGTTCCGACAAGTTTCGGCTCAATCTGCATAACAAAATTCCCTGCTTCATCAGAACATGATTGATTCATCAAAACCAAACCGTTTGCTATAACGGTTTACACACACAATGGCCCCGAAATGGGGCAAACCGCAGAAAAACCTATTATTGCCTGGTGAATCTGAAAATCTCCTGATGAGCTCTATTGTCAACATGGGATAAACCTGGAAAAAATTGTACTCTCTCATTAATGCAACAGCCGAACATAAAATAGGCGCCCATTGTGAGCCCATAGACGCACCACGATGTTGACGAAAAACTTGGGTCCCGACGTGGAAGAACGAGTGCTGAAGTAAGAATTTTACCAAATCCCAAATATGAGCCAGTTTAAATTCTCGAAACTGCTTGCTCTAAGACCGCCAATGACCCTGAAAAATGCGTAGTGTGCGTTCCAACTTATGATTGTGTGTCTGTATAGATGATTCCAAAGATACTCACTGCAGAGCAAAGAAACGATGAATTGCGAAATCAACAGCTTGAAGAATTCGATCATGTTCCACTTGATTGTAGAAGCCAGCGATGTCAGATTGATGGATTTCAAATGTCCGTTCATCAGTAGCAATGACTTGAAACATCAAACGAATTTGTTCAAGTACAGTGTGTGCATCCTGAAATTTCAAAAGGTCAGAATAAACAATGTTGAGTATTTCCAATAATGCAATACCAATGGCTTGGCCCAACTTCCGCGGCCACGATGTGCTATAGTTGATAATGGGTCTAGCCTTTTTGAACATGCGACTAGGTTTTGGTAATATGTAACCCGTGCTGAGTTTCGCATTGAAATCCAAGCCCCACGCGTAATGTCGAAAAATCCGCTCAGGTGCTGAATTGCGAATCTGTTGTACAGTCTGTACTGGAGTAGCTTTACAGGGAGTAAATACCTTGTCATCCAAAAATGTCCGAATCAGCAACTCATGCCATTGACAAGGACGATGAATGCATAATGAATGAGCAAAACTTACCTGATGATGTACGATAAAGCCTTTCAACCAAGACCTCATTTGTGATTCCATCATTTGTGATTCCATCTCATCGTCAAGAATGAGTAATCGCACAAGTACATTGGCAAGTGGAAAATCTGAGTTCCGGAACTGCAGTTGTTGCTGAGCTCTTGACCAGAAAGGTTCCGACAAGTTTCGACTCAATATGCATAACAAGAATATGTAGTCATGATCAGCTTGAGATGATCGCAATAATTTCGAACATTCAAACTTCATCTCCAGTCCGGTGTAATCGCATATGCACAACATTTATTTGTGACCACCACTCAAAAATCCAGTTCTGAGGCAGGTGCAAAAAATGAATGAAAAATGCTAAGGATCCAACGTTGAGTCTAATTATAAGCAAGCAAAAGCAATGAAGTAGCTGTCCATTGACTCAAAATCCACATCAAAAATTGTTGGAGATTCCAAGGTAAATTGTTCGAAAATTGGAGGAGGCATGCAATCCACTGACATCCGTTCAGTAACAGTCGTCTACAGTAGGACCGAACAGATTTCGAAAACGTTCTGAATTCATGAAATGCGCACAGCTGCCCATCTGAATTGACAGGGCCTACACTGTCTTGGTCAAAACTAGTCACTGATTCTTAACATGCTGAACTGCAGCCGGAAAACGAATCTGATTTTCAAAGGAAGCTTTGCTCAAAATTTGACTGCCTCCAAATTAGGTTGATCACCCACCCCACAGGCTTTGTATTCATCAATCATGTGGTGAGACAATGTTTCAACCTAAATCACATTGACTGGGTCCCGGACCAGTTGAGTGCCCCGCACTAAAAGCGTAGGGTTCCGGACCAGAAGTATCCGTTTGTGGCCCCCGACATGGTTGATACACATACAAGCATGAACATTGTGAGTTCATCAGTGTTGGATTCATCGTCATCATCATTTGTAGAAAATTCCACATGTTTTGTTGCGTCTCAGCCTGTCGTTCATCCTCGAAAATCTGACCAATGATAGGAGCTAAATGATCGGCAGTAGCAGCTTCTATGCGGTAGTGTCAAAGTCGTCCAACAATGTTCAGCGAAACCCCAAGGTTTTTTGGAAACGATGATGATCCACTCACTTGAATATTCCGAACGTGTGCAACAAGAATGGTGCAGATCGAGCAGGGATCTGTCCAGTAGAAAAACTTCAGAAAATGGCAAAGGTGGATCGCGACTCTTGGGAAACATGGCTCGAAATCATCAAAACTGTCACCAACGTGAATCAAAGATTGAAAGTACCCTTGTATGTTGAAACACAAGAGATCCAAGAGATTCACTTAATACACATTTGGATTGCTGAGAGTCAGACCAAAAAGCACTTGTATTGCACCCGTGGTGCTGAGAACTTCGACTTATGTCTGCTTTGTCCTAATTGGACGAAACTTCTGCCTTATGGCTTCTTCGCCTTATGGCTGCTTCGATTGGATTTTACGGTGTAAAATCTTGACTTCGTCATATGACGCTTGAAATGCACTCGAAGTGCATACGGCTTCGGAGATTCATACTCCACTCTGAATACGGGAAAATGCCCGCTCATAACTTTTTGATTGGTTGAAACCAACCGACGGTGCGACCAAGTCAGGTCAAACACCCGTGACACACTGTGGGGTAATGGTGAGTGGAAAGTGTGAATGATGTCATAGTCTTCGCCTGCTTTCCTGAGTTGCCTGGCAGTAGTTTTGCAGCGGCACGGAATCGCGATCGAAGAAACAACGCACAGCTCATAAACAGAAACAGAAGGTCAACAGTTTAAACCATAGCAGGTACGTAGATCAGGCGTCCCTCACCTATATCCTTACCACATGTCACCCTACCACATGTCACCCAGCTTCGTTGGCAGAGGAAGTGACATGGGCACCTCTGCCCCCTGCTTTTTGAGAATTGTACAAGCGCAATAAACAGAACTAAAACCGTTTGTTATAACGGTGTACACACACACGATGCCCGCGGTTAAAAGTTCAACCAAAAATGATATATCAATTTATCGCTTTCCCAACTGCAAAAACACGCGCCGTTCCACACAATCTGTTTACAGCCCAAGAAACACATGAAGGTTTATCACTTCTCAACTATGGTTTGACCATCCAAAAATATGGCGTTAATGATTGTTTACAAACAACCCAAAAGAAAATGTGATTTCACCCCAGAAACTTTTATTGCTTTATGAACCATTCATTGGGTAGCCTAAAATGATCTAAATGTGGAGCCCTAAAATCACTAGCTTCCCCCAGAAACAACAATGACTGTGACTTAGATCATTTTCGGTTCACCCTGACTTCGGAACCTTTAAGCTGGCTTACCCTCATTCTCGAGTTCAATCTGAGACAAAATGATTGGACATCGCAACAGGTCCAGCTTCTCAGAGCAGACCACCCCAGCGGTGCAGCTCATCTATGACGACTCCGCCAGTGTGTCGCGCATCGCTTTCCAGGTGCCCAAGTAGCCAGCGCGGGGTCGGGGAAAAATCGCCGGAAAAATCATGGAAAACAAAAAGAATGGTGATTTTTTTGGACTTGAAATGGAAGTGTAAAGCACATGGGTAATGGGGATATGATTTTGATATTGGTGGAATATACATACAATCAGATATGACCTACAACAGTGGAATAATCATACTGCAAAATTTCGGGATAGGAAAGATAACAGCGTTTTAACCCAGAACCGAATGGTGGGTATAACCATGAACAGTCGTGGTTTATTTATAAACATCAATAATTGGGAGAATCAGGATATAGCCAACCATAAGTGGGAATATCATAAGGATATCATGTGGTAGCGGAACGTATCACCAAAGATGGCAGGCAAAATGTCGGGGCTGATCTAGTCGGAACCACACTTACCCCGGGAGTTGTGGGGTTTTACCGGTGCTACCATCAGCGGCTCGGTTTTCTCGGCCTACTTTGCAACGCCTTGAACTTCTAAGACTTCTAAGTTGTACTTCACTCTCCCATTTTTTCCTTGCGTAATCCTTGGATTGCCTTTCTTAATTCCCCAAACAGTGTGGCCACACGGGGGTTCTTATGGTATAAGGTCCGGTGTTCAATCGAGGTGGTATCGGAAGCGTCCGGCATTTTCCTTGTAAATTTCTGCACAAAGTGCCTCTTGTGACATGTCCATGTGCATTTCGATCGCGCAAGCTCGCGCAAAATGCTTGCCCCGGGATTGGCAACCGGCATTTTCCCGGTAAATTTCTTCACAAAATGCCTCTTGCGACATGTCCATGTGCATTTCGAACGCGCAAGCTCGCGCAAAATGCTTGCCCCGGGATTGGCAACCGGCATTTTCCCGGTAAATTTCTTCACAAAATGCCTCTTGCGACATGTCCATGTGAATTTCGACTGCGCAGGCTCCCACAAAGTGTGCTTCCCGGTCTTGGGATCGGTCTTCCTCCTCAACATGATCCTCCTCAAAATCATCATCTTCCTCCCCCTCCTCAACATCCACATCATCATCATCATCATCATCATCATCATCATCATCAGCATCATGATCATCATCGTCGTCATCATGATCATCATCATCATCATCACCATCATCATCATCACCATCATCATCATCATCACCACCATCATCATCATCATCACCATCATCATCATCATGATCATCATCACCATTCAGCATCATCGCAATCACAATCACAATCATCATCATCATCATCATCATCACCCTCATCACCATCACCATCATCATCATCATTATCATCATCATTATCATCATCATATTCATCACCATCACCAACAACAACAACAACAACAACAACAACACAACATCACCATCATCATCATCAACATCATCATCATCATCATTATCATCAACATTAAACATCATCATCAGCATTTACTCTTTCCTTCCCCCACACTGTTTGGGGTCTCCTGCCGGGATAATTGTTTCTTCTCCTGTTTGGTGGAGCAACATTTCATACCCAGCTAAACAATGCTAAATGTTGCAGGATGACCAATCAAACCACATAGAAAAACTCAATAGCATCATTTTCAATCAGATCTAGATCTATGCCTTGAAACAAGAGCAACTCTAAGTTCATCAACCAGATCTTCATCGCCACAGCTGCCCTGGCGACAGGACTTCGACCTGGATTTGTTGGAATTGGGTGGTGAAGTCACATGGCCAGCACCCAGCTCGAGCAGAGTCAAGGAGCGGGGTCGTAGCCATGTTCGGGTCCGGAAATGTCCGGAGATGGAGTGAGGCGATATTGTTTTTTGGTTCACGAATCCGTGGATTGGTGGTTTAACATGTTCAATTTCATGGGATTTAAGCATCAAGGATGGGATTTTATGGGATGTATGGCATTTAATGGGATGATATGGATCATGAATCATAATGGTGATTTTAGCATCAAAATGCTGCCTTAACCGACACAAACGGTGGCAACATTTCGATATTATGATTATTATGGATAGAATGGAGACAATCCATGTTCAGGACGTCCATGCACAACCAAGTCTCAGGTATGATTCACATGGCCAGAGATGGATCTTGATCTCGAGCCAAAACACCCGTTGTCTGGGAAGTCTACGTCGGAGCAGGTCGCCTTTCGACCGAAGTCTCAAAGCTTGGTGCTCATGTTGAACGTTTTGGTTTGAATGAAGGCTGGGATTTTTCACTCAGCACACACCGCAGAGCATTTCTCCACAAGATCGACACCGATGAGCCTGATGAAATGTTCATGTCCCCAAAATGCACGTTGTGGTCACCAATGCAAAACATCAACATCAAATGTGCTGCTGATGCCGCTGACTTGGAAGAGAGACGTGGAATTGACCATGGAACCCACTTGTCCATGTGTCACAAGGCCTACTGGAAACAGGTACGAGCAGGATGTGTCAGAACCTATACTTTCATGTGGGGATGAACATCCATTTGCCACCTATTTTGGTTTGAACAGGAGGGTTATACCAGTTATACCGGTTATACCCAATATGTGGCTGGATTCCCATAGCATTGGGATGACCGAAGCTCATTAATCCATATTAATCCCATGTGACCTGACCAGGGCATATATTTGTATTTTGCAATATGCTGTAATCATCTGTAATCCCAGCTATATCCTGAACTAGCTACATGCTTCCAATCCCAGTAATCCATGCAAACATATCCCAGCTATATCCCAGTAGGAGGCAAATGCAAGCTGTTTATGCCATGGCCAGGACTACATCTTGTACTTCTACACCTCTGGTAACGAGCGTTCTGAGGCACGGGTATCCTTGGATCCGTGCTGGATCAGCGTCACCTTTATCACTAGAGAAACACTAACATCACACTTTCGATAATACTTTGGACTCTAGATGATGCGTGTGTGTGTGTGATTATTATTATAATTATTATAATTATAATTATAATTATAATTATTATTATTATTGCTTATTATGCTATAGATTTTATAGATATGATATACATTGATATACCGTATACAATAATTATGATATGGTAATATACTATTGCTGATACACAGTATGATTGATTGTTGTAAACATCATTTAAACTATACTGACCTTTGGTGGTATACTCTAGATATCTTTAGATATGGTGTATAATATTATAATGTTGTATAAACAATGCTAGAAATATCCACCATACATACAAACAAATCATAGCATGGTAGTACCCTCTGGTTATTTAACATAGCCATGGGAAATGGCCCATTTATAGATGGCTTACCTTTAAAAAATGGTGACTTTCCATGGCTATGTTAGTCATAACCAGATGGTATCTGTATTTTTCGTTATCGTCATTGCTTGGAAATTTCCAACCTGTCGTTTTGGAAAAACAAGGTCGGTGTGGTGCCGCACGGAAGCAATGCCAAAGTGATCCCCAGCGACACCACGTGTCTGAGCAATGAACGGGTAGAGATGGGGGTCAAAAGGATGATATGATTGACATTGATTGACTATGAGCAACCATGGGGCTTCCAACCTAGAATCTTGATGAATCTTGTACTGTAACTCCATGTAACTCCATGTTTGGAAAACTTGTGCTCGTGTTTCCTATTCCTCGCAGATCCGTTCATTCTTCCTCACAAATGGATACAGCGGATACAGCTGTACTCCGCTTTTTTTGATCGGATCTCTACAAAAAATCACCAGCCATTTCTCAATGGGGGATGGGTCAAAACCATTAATATGCCAAAATGTTGTTTTCCATTCAAATCCCACGGTTATTCCATTGATATATGGTTATTCACATCCAACCAGCTATTTTTTGTTAGCCATGTTTTCCATTGGCATGGTTCTTCACATCCATAAATCCCAGCTATCTTGGATTATCTTGGTGTTCACCAATGGATTTCTCCTGAGATTCATCACCGGTCCATGGCAATCGAAAACCCCTGAACTTCCTGGAGGTGTATAGCTGGGAAAATTCCCTGAAATTCCTGGACGTTTTAAGGGGAACATTGGAACATTCCCATTGGACGATTTTCCAGCGTCAACACCTTCCAAGCTTCCAATAGTCTTCTGTCGTTTGGAGGTTCGGAGACTTCCAGCTGCTGGCGGTCTACACCCGTTCCACGTTGGCCGAGCAAAGCACCCCGGTCACGGCCGGCTTTTCGGACACCTACGCGGCGGTGGCCGCTTGGCTGGTTTTTGGCGGTGGAGATGTGGAGGTTTGGGGATGGGATGAAATCCCCATGAAGCCTGTAGAGATAAAGTTGGACAGAGTGGGTGAAACATCAGAAAACATCATAAACACCAGTGGACACAAGCTGTTCTAACCTTCATCCCATTGTTTTTTGAGGTTTGTGAAACATCAAGACATACCCTTTGGTAAACGTTTACATAGCTATTGAAAATGGCCCAGTCGAAACAGTTGATTTATCCATTTTTCACATGGTGGATCTTTCCAGTTCGTTATGTGGCTGTTTACCAGAGGATAAAACCCATTAGATCCCATTAAACCACCATATTCCCATAAATTCCCATTATAGATCCCATTAAAATATTGGTTTACCAGGCCGGGTAAACCCATCTGTTTCAGGAGAATGTGACCTTCCCCGATTTCGATTTGGACGCCACGGATCTGGGAGGTAGCCTCACCTGGGAGGACGCGTTTCGGATTTTCGGGGTTGGATGGGCCAGTGGGGAGGTTACCATGGTGCTTTCCAACAGGAAAAATTCGGAAAAATGAGGGAAATATTATGGAACTATATGGATAAAAAGCAGTTTCAATGGCAATCCACAGATATCTGCAGATATTGGACATCTTTCACTTGAGGAGTTTGAGTGGACACATCATCGGAGGTGACGCTTCTGTCACGTCACCTTGGAAGTGGCTGTTGAAACCCGGTGCCGCCAGGAGCCATCAGATGCTTCGGTTATCACCCACTATGAGGCGGGCATGGATTCTGAAGATGGATGGATTCTTTATGTGTTTAAACTCAGTTTGGAATGTTTTCACAGTCATTCAGGTTACATAAGGTTGCCATTTTCTCCGAATATGACATTTTTTACCGCTTCAACATCCGATGTTCAAAAAGATAAGAAATGTTTTCAGAAGGGATGATCCCCATGGCTTTGCCCAGTTACATAAGGGGGTCCTATTCCCCCAAAAAAAGGCCATGTTGATAGGGAACATGATTTTCCTACCACTTTCAGTTGCCAAATTATCATCTTGTTGGTTGTAAGACATTATATACTCATATATATATATATATTATATACAACATACATCTCCATTTTTTTGGACATATTTTGAGAGCAGAACATAGTGATCCGCTTCAATAAGTGCTATTTGACTGTAGAACTAACTTTCACAGAACATTCCCAACAAGAAGGGTGGGTCGACCAAAAATGGATTGGCTAACAGAAACTTTGAAAGATGCCTATCACGCGCTCGGGTGGATAGCGCCGCCTGATTTCAATCATATCAATCCACATTATCTAGTGGACGCTGCTACCTCTCGAAGCGGGCCTTTCAATCGGTAAACATCCTGGCCATCAGCCTCCGGACTCACTGAGTAAATACTAAGAAATCATTACCTCCCAGTGTTTCTCTCCGCTTTGGTCATGCTGCGCGCCTTCATTGGCGCTTGATATAAAATCATTATATCCCTAGTATCTTCAAAATTACTGGGTAAATGACCATTAAATATCATTCAATCACCATTACCCTCCGGTCATGAAACATGGCAATGAACAATTGACAATTCCCCAGTTCCAGACAAAATTTCCCATCAAGACTCCCTCTATAGGGGATTTCCAGTTGCCATGTTTGATTACATCGAGGAGTATCTTGAAATATTCCTATGATATTCCCAATATATTTCTATCAACTGACGGGTGTAATCATCATTTTGGCATGTTGGCTGGTTCAATGTCATTATAACTCATTCTATCATGGAACGTTACAATTTCTTTAGAGGTAAATCATAATTTTGATCATCTGTAAAGGGGCCATTTTCCATAGCCAGCTGTAACACATAACCAGAGGCTAATTCTCATTGATATCCCAATTTTTTGTGCCACGGTTTCCACGAGTCTGGCACGGAACCATGGCAGTCAAAAAACAAGTTGGTTTAGTCCCTACAAAGAATCAACCATTCCCATTCAAAGATATATCATCAACTAAATAGATATTTACCTGGTTGGTGGTTTCAAACATTTTCTATTTTCCACAATATATGGGATAATCCTTCCCATTGACTTTCATATTTTTCAAGGTTAAAACCACCAACCAGTTACTATAGATACTATTTACTATAGAGACTCTGGTTGGTGGTGTGGATTTTTTTCCCATTCAGTTGGAGATGAAACCATCAAACAGTAGATATATCATCATCTATTAATATGGCATCTATATAGATATTTACTATAGATGTTTAACTATTAAGATGATCATCAACTAAAGATATATCATCATTAATATGGATACTGTGTATCATAGATATATCATCATCAACTATAGATTTTTACTACTATATATAGATAGATCATAATCATAATCATCATCACCATCATCATCATCATCATCATCAGCTATATAGATACTGCATTGGTATACCAATTGTCATGTTTTCTTTCAATCCCTCAAATCCCCGGTCACTGGCAGGTCTACATCGCCCGCACGCTGGCCGACGAGAGCCCGGCCGCGGTGGCGCTGCTTTGCAGCGCCAACCTGCAGGACAGACCGAAGTGGACCTGTGGAACCGAGAAAAATGAGAGAAATCCTTGGGGAAGAAAAGGATTGATGATGATGAATGGTGGTTTGGAACATGGCTTTTATTTTTCCTGGTTAATCTATGGTTAATCTATGGTTAATAATGGTGAATAATTGGAATAACAATATATCTGATTGGTGGTTTGGAACATGGCTTTTATGTTCCATTTCATATATGGGATAATCCTTCCCAACTGACTAATATTTTTCAGAGGGATTGAAACCACCAACCAGCTATACATGGGATGATTGATATCTTACTTATATTATAATACATTATACTGTATGTATTTTTGGCAAATGCTGTACCTGAAATTATATAATCATGTGTCCTAGATTTGGGGCTGAAGACGGCCCACAAGAGCAATAAGAACAGATGAGTTTGTCTTTAAACATGTTAAACCACAAAATGTGTTGCTTTATTGTCATGTTTTCCTGTTAAAAATCGGTAGCATTGCTATTTTGTAGGATTTGTGTTGCATATCCTTGATACACGGGAATATAATAATTCATCATGAACTGGCTATCCCACGAGAATAAACAATCATGTGGGGATTTTCCAGTAGATTTGGAACATTTTGTGACACTGCTCCAATGTTATTTCTTGGATATACCCCGGCTATACCCGGCTAACTATTGGGATATGATGCATTGTATTTCGGAGTCATCATTTGTGGAAACGGTGGGGTGGTTACTTCAAAAATCCCAGTGACGACCACTGAAGTTCAGGATGAAATGCCAACTGTAGCTGGGGTAGAACTTGCCAAACATGGTCAAGAAAATTGCAGCTACTGACACATGGGGGATTATAGAATTCTACAGTAGTTCTATGACGTATAATGTAACCGTGCACAATCACAAATGGATAATGGTTTGTAATTCCGTGATACCTCCCTCTAAGTCCACTACACTGGGATAGCAATATTCAAACTGCACAGATTTTCCCACTGAAACTGAGGGTTAGCCAATCAAAGATAGGAAAATGGTATAGGAACCATGCAAGACTTGGGCGCCCGCACTGCTGGTCACGATCTTCCGATGTACAACTTCTGTGAGGCAATCATGCCCCGGCCCACCTAAGAAGGGGCGAGACTTCCCAGATGCACCGAAGTGCAGGTTGAGGTGTTGTTTGATGTCGCATGAGTCTGGCTTAAGCTGAGAGAATCAGCTGAGCTTTCACGTTTTTGGAGAATTAGCTTTGGCTATCCGCTCAAATTAAAGGCAAACAAATGGATGATAATGATGTGAAATTCAACACTGAAGCTCGCCCAAGATTGTGGATTTTGCTTCCAGACTTCGGTGTGTTCCAAGAGACTTGAGATAACAAGGAATGGTTCCTAAAAAACAAGTAATGTTGCCAAAGAACAATGATATGATAGACATGTACAGTAATCTTAAGATACATTTTGATCTTGACCTGTCACTGTCAAAGTCGTCTCTTGTTTTCTGAACTGCAGCAGCTTCAGGAGC